GTGTCTCTACAGTATATTCTTGTGATTAAATTTCATCCACTCTTTAGTATTATCGCAACGATTTTAGAGAGAGAGAGAGAGAGAGAGATCTAATATAAATAATAACAATAAAATATTCAACAAATGAAATCATTATTTATTTGGTAATACCAAATTGGTATAACTTATGTTTAACTGAATTTAAAATTTATATACAATATATTCAACAAAATTACAGTATATGTAAAATAAATATATTTAGACACTGTTTTTAAAAATATATAATATTATTAATATATTAATGTCTTTGTATCGCACAAACATTGGCATAAGAATTACAATCATTTTAAAACATACTCATTAACATGAAAATTGTTTGAAACTTAACAAAAAACTTCATTTTATGTATTAAAATGTATACAAAGGCTTTTGAAGTAAAAACATGTTTTAAATTTTTTAGATATTCAAACTCTATTAATAATTATGCTAATCATTCATATCATATTAAAAAAAGGCTTAGGAAACCTCTTATTGAATACAATTATTGAGATTCAATTAATTTTAAATACAGAAATGGTCGACCAATTAATGATTTCAAAAGCATCTACCTGGTTTATGTGAAAATTTCTAATTAAACAATTGTTAAATAATTGTTACATAATGTTAAGATTTAATGAATTCAATTGATTTGTATTTAAAGAAATCAAATCACAAATAATTGACAACAAATGTGGAAATCAAGTGATTTATGGAAAGATTGTATTATTCCTAAAACTATTTGACTCAATAGAAAAGAGATCGAGGGCCTTTCATACGGTATCAACTATTTCAATATTATACCAATTAATAATAAATAATTTTTGTTAATTATAAGCTCATAACAAGTTATTGAATATTTAATAAATAATAGTGTGTTTGAATTTAACGAGAATGTAATACAAAGTTATGTAATTAATTATGTTATTATTGCAAAATAGAGAACAGAATTGAGTGTATAATGAAAAATGTCGATAGAGTTTGAGTACAAATTAATTAAAGGCAGTTTTATCATACAATATATTATATACTAGATAGAAACAAGATTTTTGACTCTTAATGAATATTGTGTGACATTTGACTAATTAAATAAAAATTCTCGTTTCAAAACTAATGAATTGGTTTCGCATATGAGTGGCTAAAGGGACAAAATAGTTGCGTGAAAATGACATTCAAAATATATCTCAGTTGTGTTGAGTGGCCACCACTTCAGTCATATAAATGGTTGTACTCCTCTGTCTGGTGCTCACCCTCTCTAAAGATCGTGTCAATAGATACCGTATCTGACAATAAATGTATTGTTTATGTCATTAAATGCTCATTAATTACATTCAAGAACAGTACTTAGATATTAGTATATATTTTACGATTTATATTAATATCATAAATTAAGTTCAAATTTTATTAAAATTATAAATTTTTATTCTATAATATAAATATTTTATTATTATTGAAAATTATACTGTATCCAACTTTTATTTTTTTAATTAAATATAAGTAATATTCTATTAATGATAAATGATTTGTTTGAAATATTGTTTTTGGACTCCTATTGCTAAATTCATTTATAAAATAACATTATTGAAATAATATTTTACCCTATACAAAGTACATCTGCTGTAAGTATGGGTAATATTTATAATGATAAATCTAAATTTAGATAGATAATTTCTATATTCATTGAAAACCTTAACAGTGATATAGACAATTTATATATTTGTCATAAAATAAATAAAATTATTAATATCGTATAAGTTATTTTTCAATCTAGACCAACAGAATATTATTATATTAATACAGAATCTGCAGTATTTGTGGTTTTCATATAAATGTGAATTTTAGTGCACTTTATTTGATTAAACTTATTAAATGCAATAAAAATTGGATAAAAATAACTAATAATATTATTGCTGATAAAATACAGATAAAATATAAACATAATATATTTTTATACTTTCAAGAGAAGCGTCAATTTATATATTTAATAAACAGTAATTTAAAAAATAATAACAATGCTCATCATATTGAATACAATAATTTTGACAGAAAATCATTTTTAGCTATATTTCATTAGCACAGTAGTTCTTGACAACTAGTTATTTAAAACAATCCTATAGTATATCGAAAATCTAATTCACATAAAATATCAATTATAGCATATACTGTACATTACAAGTATTACAAGTGCATGCAAATAGAAAATATTGATTAACGCAATATTGAGAGCATAGGATAGGATGAGATAATACAGTAGTAAGCAATTGATTACCTCATTGTTGGCGAAACAGAATATAATGGAAACGGCACAGCCTTGTAGTCCGTCGAGTGTAAGCGATAAATAGTGATAAACTTCTGAAAACCAACAGTTCCTAAGATTTAATTTTAAGCATAAGTACAACAAAAAACAATTAATTGCCGACAATAATGAGCAAATAAAAGGGAACGGACGTCGAGTGTAAGCGATAAATAGTGATAAACTTCTGAAAACCAACAGTTCCTAAGATTTAATTTTAAGCATAAGTACAACAAAAAACAATTAATTGCCGACAATAATGAGCAAATAAAAGGGAACGGGAGATGAGAGGGCGAATGAATGGGAAGAATTGGATGGCAAAGTTAATGGTGTATTAAATTTCTTTTGAATACAATTCTTACTCAATATTAGGTCTGTAGACGACAAACAGATAGTGGAGGCCATAGAGAGGCAGTAATAGTATAGCGGCTCGCAGTGAGACTATAATACTTTGTCGGGTTATGACTCCGGAGCCGGAGTTGGAGATGTGTCCAGAGTTGGCGTATTGTGAGCCTAATGTGGACGAGGCTTTGATGCACAGCACACGTAGCAGTAATAACAGGAACACACAATTCACCTGAAAATATAGGTTTCATTCAATTATAACAACCACAACAATCGTTATCAAGTATGCAATCTTTTATTACATTATACACTCAGTTATTGTATTTGCATTACAAGCACACCATAGCTTAACATTAGATTCTTGCATAGAATTGAATTATTTTTTGCTCAAAAATCCTATTATTTGAATGAGATTTTTGAGGAAATTTCTTCCTTATTGTTCTTATTCTCGATGTATTACTGGATTCATATAGCATTGTATTGTATATTAATATAAATTTATTGTTTAAATATTCTGGGTCGATCTAATGTACTGTAAACTACGGTATAGTGTACTATTAAAACAATGAAAGTAAGTTATTTATTTTTATTGCAGCCTTTCATATCATTAAAAGCTAATTGAATGCCAGTTTTCCATAGTTTTTACTCAAATGAATTGCATTCTGTTTAGACATTATGTGTTTTTCACAACAAAAATAATATTTTTCCGAGGGTTACGTGTTGAAAGTAGTGAAACCATAAATAAATTAAAATGAGAGTCATTTCATTCAATTATATTTGTTGACTATAATATACAGTACTTTTCAAAAGTCTCATTGAGTGTTCACTTAAAATCTAAAGTGATTTTTCATATATTTTATCCATTATATGTGTGTTTTCAAAGTAATAAATCAATACACTGCCATTCAAGTAATATAACTGTAAATGCATTAGGTTTGGCTGTATATAATGTATATTTCAAAAAGAAATTTTTATTTGGATTGTGTTCAACAAGTTTTTGAAAACATTCATAAAACAAATATTGAGACCCTTTTAACGGAATATTTTAGCAAATTTTGAAAATATTAAAATAGATATAAAACTTTTCCGGTATAAAAATTTTCAGTAAAGTTGTGAATATTTACAGTTATATTGTACGTGTACTCCCAAATGATTTAATATGACTTTATGATTTCTATTTATTATAGCATAAAGTAAAATATTTTTCATTAATTCTGTTGGATTCAGTCTTATCAATGAAACAAAAAAAGTAAAAGAATTTTGAATTTTATTAATATTTTTAAATTCATATTTTTCTTATCTTAAATGAAATCTAATGTCTATGTTTTATAGTTTATAAAATTAAAGTGTACAATTTATATCATGTACTAAATTATATTTTATAAAATATCTCGCAAAATCCCACTGTCTATTGTGCCATTTATTTTAAATGATATAAAATAGTGAATAATGTATTACACAATGACTGCACCCCACTATCATATTCTGTATGATTTATAATATTATATAAAAAATAATTAAAATTAAGGTTGCTTACAAATATATATAAAGTTTTATTATTGCCTTAATCATTATTAAAACTATATTATTATTTACAATGTTATGCCACAAACTGGAAGATATTTAAAAAGGGAGTGACCATGTGAAATTAACATTAATTCATCACAATTTGTCAAACAATTAAAATGCAATTTAATAAAATGCAAAATTCTTATAGAAATAAATATTTAGTTGCTTCAATTTATCAAATGTACTGTTATTTATAGTATAGCAGTAGGAAATTATTTATAATATAAATATAGAGTAGACTGATAATTCGTTTATGAATTACACTGTTGGGAATTCGTGTTACTAAATACAGACACACAGATTATAATGATTTATATTTTTAACAGAATATTTGTTTTCTTAAAAATAGAAACAAACAAATGTTATTAAAAATAACTTTTTTAAATTTGACAAAAAGTTAAATTGTTATTTTCTATATTAATTATTCGGTTGTTAAATAAGAGTAAGCTACTATTATTTTACTATACATTTATATACGGTAATCTTAAAGAAACAATTCTTTAGCAAATAATTTATAATTAATTAGCAAATAAATTTCATTTTAATTAATTGTAAATATATTGATTCTCTTTGTATACAAAATGTATAGAAATTGCATCTATCAGAATCTAAATATATCAGATTAAATCCCAAAATACTAATTAATATGATTAATATTTTGCTGAGTTTGGATCAAATATTTTCAACCATTTGTTGCATCTATTGATCACGTTGTAAATCAATGATTATACAGAATATTCTATACTTATTACACATTTATGAAGTAATTTGTCACACAAGTCAACACCAGTTTATATGATGGAATAATACCATAAAAACTTCTTATCTATGAAATCAATGTCTACTCATATGTCTAATACTTGAAAACGAATTTTCAGAAATTATTGAATTATGATTGTTATTATTCATCTAAATTGAATCCAAGAATCTGTGGACTATATTAATAACATGCAATTCACAGACAGTCTGTAGTTTTATTGAGACTCAATTATGTTATCCGATGACAGAAATGGAAATCAAAATTTATTTACTCTTTAATTAACTGATTGTTTTTGGCGTCATTTAATATAAAGACAATACAGCGTTTGTCTCATGAAAATTGATTTCTGACACCAAATAAACACAAAAGAGATGTAGTGTTGACTCACAATAAGGATGGCCAGATTGGGGGCATTGATGACCCACTCGAGCCAAGTGTTTGGCGACGGCATTAGCCAACACTTGTCCTCTTCGACGATAGGACTCACGTCTTCGTACTCCTCAATCACTTCCATGAGTTTCTCCAAATAAGTGTCATTAAGGGATACATTGAAGGAATTACGGGAACCGCCCATAGCGTGGCTTAAGTTCTTGCTCATCGACGAGATGGCTATCAGATCGTTGGCCGGGCTGATAGTGACGCCGTCGGTAATGGCGCGTATGATAATGTAGATACATTGAAGGAATTACGGGAACCGCCCATAGCGTGGCTTAAGTTCTTGCTCATCGACGAGATGGCTATCAGATCGTTGGCCGGGCTGATAGTGACGCCGTCGGTAATGGCGCGTATGATAATGTAGGTCAATGTGGTGGTGGCCGGCAATATGTAGGCCAGTATGATGAGTGGTGTGAGGGGTGGCTGAGTGAAGGCGTGTTTGATGAGTTGATGCAAATACAGCGCTTCGTTAAACATCCATAAATAGGTTGTCGACCGGAAGTACCGCAACAGCACCGATAGTATCAGACACAGCGATGTCAGTACTTGCGATGTTCTCGTGTGCTGTTCCCCAGCAGACAGTAAATGCCATTTCAGTAGTGATGAGATGAATGCGTGGAAGAAGAGGGATGTGAAGAGATGTTTGTGGAGTCGGATCCGAGACACCGATGAGAGTTGTCTGCGTGCGGCAAGTGTTTGCATTTTAGTTCATTTCTCATGTAATAAACAACACTTTCTTATAATATAACATCTAATAAATCAATAAACTTATAATGGCTGAGACATTGTAATGAAATTGAAATTAATCTAAAAGCAAATTAGAAATTTCAAACATAACTAGACATTAAATTATAAGCTAGTTAAATTATAATGTATTAGTGATTCTTATTCTTAGAATTTATAATCAAATTAAAACTTATTCTGAACTCAATTCTAAGAATAGTTTAATTTTACATCCTTTTAAATGCAGACTAGCTGAAAAACACAAATTAGAACAGATTGTCAATTTATAATTATTATGATTATACTTTAAACTCGGAAATAATACCCGAATCGTAATTATGATTAATAAACACTGTTTGTTTTAGACTACCATCGCTTTTAATAAAAAATTTTAAATAATACAATAGTTATTTTATCAAGATAGATAAGATAGAAATTTGAGCCTTTATTATGGGCTTAGCATTAATACTAATTATTTGTGACAAACAAAATCTGATGGTAGGCTTTTAATAAAAAATTTTAAATAATACAATAGTTATTTTATCAAGATAGATAAGATAGATATGGGTTAGGATGAGCTGTAGTTTTGAAATTTGAGAATACATTTAAAAACATGAGTTAAAGTAATTGTAAACTTTGAGGCAAAAGACTTTTCTTATAGTTTTATAACATGAAAATCAATACAGAGTTTATTTCCTGGAAATGCAATTCTGGAATCGGAATATCAGTAAATAAATTGTTGATTTAATTTTCAATCATCAGACTGTTATTTTAATTGCATTTTATTACGGGTTTTCAATCATACGATAAATATATTATGTTATAATTTGCTAGATAAATAATTTGCTTAAAAATAAAGACAACAAATAGATGAAATGATTGCATACTTATAATGACTGAATATAAGAAGTGCTGGAATTAGAGTACACATGGATATGACATTTGTCACAATCGAGTAGCGAATTCTGCCCACATATATCTGGGTATTAAAATCATTATAACAATTAGACTTGTTTTAGTATCGTATAACAAATCATAGTAAATGTGAACAATGATAATAAGGTGGGTGCAATGGTAGACATACATCATCGCGAGCACACATGGAATAATTGCTCCATTCCTTGTCCGATATATTAAACCAATGGCCACTTGATGTGCACTCCTTTGTAGTGTATCCTTAAAAGCCAAACAAATAGTAATAAACGTGTTAAG